GGTCAGGGGACATACTTCAATATTACATCTTCTTCAGGTACGAAACGCCCTTCCATTCGAAGTAGGCGGGAGTTTTTCCAAAACCCTTCGATTCCATGTGGTGGCACCCAAACCTGTAGCAGTCTCCAAGAAGGTACGGGCGACCACATGTAGGGAGGATATTCTTCTCGAGTTACTTGATGTAACCGCCAGCGCTCACCTTCAGTCGGGGTCTACAAAGAAAATATCGGTCTTCCCCTTTCCAGGTACCCCGGTCCATACCATCAACTCGCGCCTCGGCGAATACGGTGAAGATGATGTCCTAGACCGTAGCGACGTTGCCGTAGCTGCTCGATGTGGGAGGTCTTGCAGATCAAGAGTACTGACCTCCAGGTAGCTATCTGTGGATGACTTCATTCAAGAAGTTTCGCAGCTGTTTGGAGGCGACGTGAATTCCAAAGGTGTTCTCCAGTCAGGCCGCGACTGGAGATGACTTCATATTTTGGTGTACATGAAGGCGATTGGCGGCAGCCTGCTCCAGCTTATAGAGGAAGATCTTGGGTATCTTCCACCTGGTACTCATATCCACTTCCCCTGTCTGGGCTGCGAAAACTTCGTTGATATGTGGCTCGGCCGAAATGACTTTTTTTTGCCCCCCCCCCCTGTATTCTCCGAAAACTTTAGATCCGTGTCCTACACCTTCCCTTCCTCGTGTTCTCCTCTTCCAAAGGAACATTGCGGTCGGTTCTAAGCGCCACCCATCCGCCACTTAGCCATCCGCCACTTTCTCCCGAAACGTCTTTTCTTGCGATTTTCTTGATCTCAACGGTCGCAATGTGTGAGCAGGCCTTAAGGTACTGATTCCAACAGACCGTATACTCCACTACCGAGGGCATTGGGTGTTTGAGAGATTGTGCGACGAGGACAGTGTAGGTATCGAAGCAATTTGAGAGACTGCATGATTCAGCGTTTTCGAAGATCGGTGAGCCTCTCAAAATATCGGATTGCTCACTTTCCGGAGTCGTCAGATCAGTACCTATACTTTCCTCGTTGGGCAATTTCTCAAACCGCCGAGTCTCCTCAGTCGCAAAGTATGGACGCACCTTTGTAAAGTGCAGATTGTGCTTATAAAAGGTGTTGGTTTTAGTGTGGCAGAAGATATCATAGATTTGTCGAGGTCTAGAGCTGGTGAATCCGACGCTGTACCCGTGGAAAAAGTCCTCCGAAAGGTGATCAGTCAGAGGTGGTTGCCTTTGTTACGGGGAAAACTATCGCACTGATTTCAGGAGTCCGCCGGTAGATCGCCATTCCATGTATTGCCTATGTCCTACAGAACGGGAATACGTGACGTTGTGTATGAATCGGCCAAGCAACGTGTAATCGTTGCTGAATATCGAAATGCTATCACGCAGCAACAGATCATTGTGAGAATTCGAAAAAAAGTTGGAAGTTTCGCCTTGTATAGTTAGGCCCTTCAGGCTTTTACCCATGAAATCGACCGAATGGCAACGAAGGACGAGTCTGGCAACGGTCACGTCTTGATCTCGGACTTATACGTAAGAATGTTCAAGCAATACTACTTCAATCAGAACTCAAATATCTATTTAAGTCCGTACTATCTCGTTCTCCACCAGAAGTTCGAAAATGCTTTGGATCTCGAGTGATCAACAAATTGGTGCTCTCCAGTGATACATCAAATGGATGTGTATCATGTCATCTTTTAGGTAATGAATCCACCTAACTTCAACCTATTTTTTGAGCTTCTGGCGCGGTACGCCAACGGAGAGGGAGCATTTTGCGCTTCCGCTGCTTCGCTAGTTTCGGTTTAGAACCGTTGTGAAGCTGCAGCGAGCTCGCCTCACCACATTGTGATAATGAGTGGTATATGTATGGTATCTGATTGCTTTCGAAGAGTTGACAGAAGGTCTCTAGAGACTCTGGCTGGTTTCGGCTTCACAGGGTCTCAAAGATCTCCTCTTGATGGCTTGATATCCGATAGAGAGCAGTAGAAAAGTGTCCCCGCCTCCCCGTCGCCGAACTGCGCCTTCCTTGCCTAAAGCATTATTGGACGTTATTTTAGCTGAGTACTTGACTGCTTGTTGTCGGCGGTCACAACAGTTTCTTTTCGTACAGAATGCTGCCCGTTCCACCGAGTATATTACGACAAATGTATGTCTGTTTTCAAACAAAACTACTTTCATTTGTGCATTTATGACATCTGTAAACGTTTTCGTTATTTGCTGCGTGAAATCAAACCTTTTCGGTACGGAAAGGATTTTTTTGCATTGATTATAGGAATTCCTCGATCTCGTCATGGCAGAAATTTCGAACAAGTTATCATGGGAAAGCGTAAGCCATTACTTGTTCATTTCAAACAAAAAAATTAGAATTGTTCGCACACTTTTTAATTTATTTCTTACGAAAGAACTATCGATTTTTTTTCGTTCAGGGAATGAAGGACTGTCCATTCTACTATGCGGTCTTCATAGAGCGATGTGTTTTCTTTCAGCTCGATCCACAAAGAACAGGGAAGATATCGATATTGGTATGTATGCAACTTTCCAATCACTATGATTGCTGCCGTACGGGCCAAGAAATTAGACAAGGAGCTCGTTGTTAGTCAAATATTAGTAAGAGACTAAACATATCAAGCAAGAGGCCGAGTCTTTACTTTCACCGCGATAAACTGCTTAAGTGGTCTTCGAGTTGTTCAAGAAACTTAGAGACCGGCCTCGTGCTCAACCGATTCCATGGCTTCCTCCATTGCTCAGGTGGTCTGCTCCGCAAGCCCGCAGACTGTCCCACGTTCGCGGCCCTCATAAATGGCATTTCTGACACCTCTCCGATTGTCTCGCCTACCAGAACTAACAACGAGAGACTACTTTCTTGCAGGAGTTCTGTGTTTACACCCTCGCTTCCGTTTCTTTTTTCTTTATTAGACGGTGCTAGCATCGCATGAGGGAAGAAACGATCAATGAGACTCTAGGTTTGTAACTGAACCCCACCACAATACATCTGCAGGATTTGCCTTTAGCGCTGTAAAGGAAAGCTATGTCTAACAGTTGTCGCAGTTTTGAGTTTTTCAGCACCCGTCGTCGAGAGCTTACTTACAGTTTTACGGTTTGCGTTTTTCATCCTCCAGTGCCCATGGTTCTATGGCATGGGAAATTCCTTACCTACACTCAAGTTAGAAAAGGCGCGAGTGTTTTGCAACAGTTCGACGCGTGCCATTGCGTAGCGCAGAAAGAGAGAAGAACTTTGTAATTTGTTTTCTGGTTCTGCTTACTTTGTCTGATTCACTGTGCTTTGATAAAAGTCCTATTCGGCTGATCAGCTAGAGAAATTTGCTCGTGACGCTCTATGCCCAACACGTTTCTCCAGTAGTGAAATTGCGAATTTTTCGCAGTCTCTCTGCCTTTTGCACTTCATTTTATCACTATTTTGCAGTTCGATTGTGTTGAGGGTTTCCCATCGGTTTAACTTTTATTTGCCCTTTTTTTATACGTTCACTCAAGGAAAGGCTGTTACAGGAGCTTGCCTCCACGGGACTTCTCGATGACCTTTTTGAAGTACTAAGTCAACAGGAACGTGATCCTGCCGATAACTCATGCAGTGCAAGTTCTTGGTGGGCACTTTTTCTTGACTTCAGTCGAAACATAGCTTTTTGTCTCTTCAAGTGTACACGTTGTAGGTGTTCAGTCGGTCGATTTTGGAGACTCCTGGAGCAGTTCCGTACTTGTGATAGAGATGGTTCTGGAATGGTGTCTCTCGAAGAATGTCGTGCATATAGAGAGTAAGAATTCTCTAAGGCCTATCCTGTCTGTGAGAGACACTTTTTAATTTCTTCAGTGGAACAATTACGCCTTTGTTCTTGGAGAGGGTGTTTGCCAATCAAATTTTGTATGGTGACCAGTCACCACACGAGAATGGACTTTCGTGGATTCGTAGACCTCGATGCTGCGATCACGTCGAAAAACGTATGTTATTAAAGAAATATTGGGCGCTGTTTCGCTTGGTAGGCGTATTTCGTGCTTTCGCTTGTTTGTTTTGTTAACCCACATCTCTATCATTGGCGAGACCTTAAACTCTTGTCAAGTGCAAAAGGAGCTCTTGCAATTGCAAGATTTTACAGTAGTTTACAGATCTCCCTAGGAGGCGACAGTTATCGATGGGAACAGCAAAGTGCCCCCACTGAGCCGAATTGCGCCACAAATTGTACATTTACTTCCATGGATCGTTGTTTTTCCCATGCGCCAAATGTATGGAGCCGCAGCTCCGGAGCGTGCCACTTTTTCCGCCCGAAAGTGCACATGAAGGATGATGGGGAGTTGCGACACCCGAGTGCTGTTTCCAAACTTTGCTCGCGCTGCCGCATAGCCAGCGGGCGCGTCCAGCCATAGCCAAACGCGCTACTTGTCTGCGCCCTCTCGCACCTAGTTGTTCTCTACCTGTAGCTGCGTCTTCGATGAGGGATTTCGTTATCGACAAAAATGCTTCACATTGAGGATAGCGCAGGTAGAATGTGGAGAAGGCACCCGGATTTCACCACCTCCCGCCGGCGCTTTTTTGTGAAAGTGGCTCGCTATGGAGCTGTGGACCCACCCACCCCACACATGGCAGGAAACGTCCCGGAAGTACGTGTACAGTTTGCCTGTGAGGTAGAAGTTTGAGAGCCTTTTTTGAAGTCACCTTTTAGCAGCCAGCGTCTATAAGGTGGCTGTTCCGTATGCTAGATTTGAGGGACGATGGTGTACTGGATCGTGGCGAAATTAAAATGATGGTGAGTAATTTCCTTTGGGAGCTTTCACTGGTATTGAGATCGCAAAACTTTACTAGGATGGATAGAATCGATCCAGATTGCTACTTGACTGACCTGCACTTTTCATTTTAGGGAGCTATAGAGTAGCCTTTTACAGGTTCAAAGCATGTTGGAGAATCTATCTGCCATGGAGAACTGGGCCGTGAATTTCAAGGCTGATGATATAGTGGATGAAATCATCGATATGATAAATCCAGCTGAGCCAAACAGGTGCGATTAGGATTTGCAGGAAGGGTAGGGGCGCTAGAATGAGCAAGGTGGTTAGCTGCACTAGACCATATCGAAGCAGTATTTTTGAATTTGTAATGCATACTTCCAGGATAGTGGTTGATGACGTGCTAGCCTGCAACATGGCGGAGACAGCGCTCGGCATTCTTGTAGACTACGATGCCTTCTTGAAATACGAAAATCGAGAAGAGGAAGCTGCCAATAGCTAGAGCCCTCTTTCATGGCCTTTATACGGGTGTTTGGTACTTTCCGAAAGAAGCCTTTGTTTGTAGAAGATGCTTGCAAGTCTTTGTTAACTGCCTGCTGTTTTGTTGACAGCCACTTTTCGTAAATAGTACTGTTACTTTCGTTTCGATCTCGTTGACATAAACTTTATATTAACCAAAATTATTTTGACTGTCCTGGACTGGGTCCTGGACTCGACCGCTAGAAAGGAATGAAGGGAACCTGTTTGGTTTGGTTGAGGCTTTGCGCTCTGTTCGTTCGCGCGCTTACTGCGCTTCAGCATTAGGGACTCAGGATGTTGATGGTTCGTCAACAGCTCGAATTACCCTG